AAAGGGATATATAACTTTCTAAGGTTAATAATTGATTGGATATCACAATCAGGCGATGCTTCAATTACCTCAGCCATCAATGTCCCTTTTTTATATCAGTGATGATAAGACGGCATAAATCCCCTTAAAAATTATGCAGTTCGTTGGAAATATGAAGAACCAAAATAGATCAAACACGCAGTTCGCGAGAATTCAGAGTCAATATAAATCAAACATACAAAACCAAGAAGAAAACCATTGCGGGAAATATCGAGAACTTCATATATGCCAGAAAGCTCCATAATATAGATATTATTGAAATACCAAGAAGACAACTAGGGAAATTTACATATGCCGCCAATTAAAATCATAAACCTCTTTAACTTCTCCTCGACGTCGATAATCCTCAAAACATGCGCTCAGTAAGCCAAGTTTCTCCCTACGGCCTACTCAAACACAAATAATTATCACAAGCCCTACCCTCCACCCCCCCCCCCCCCCCCTCAAAAAATCTACACAAAACAAAGACTTATTTACTACCATCTAGTACATAAATGTGTAAAGCCCAGCTACAACTAGAAAACTGGACACCCCTTAACCACAATTCCAGGCTCAGTCGGGCACGTCGCCAACGGGCATCGATCCACATCCGTTCCCCACCAATGCAGGCTTATATGCTGATTCTGGAAAGCGAAGAACAGCAACACCCCCATAAACGCAGTCCCTGCATCCAAGGCTGCAGACAACACGTAGTTGTACTTCTGCCACCAAGCTTTCTTATACCTGAACACGAAATAGTTGAATATCGTTCCCGTTATAAGCCAGCTTGCTATGTTTGTTGGCGTCGCGGGTGGCATCCCTGCGAACCCATAGGAGATAACAGGTATGTTGATCAATGGGATCCATTTCTTTTCGGGGTAGATTTTGCTTAGAATCCAGATTGGGACAGGGAGGACTGCGCCAATGAGGAAGAGCCAGACGAGGTTTCGGTACAGGCCACCATGCCCAAAGAGGCGGCTTGGACCGATTAGGCCCCATATGACAGAGGCGTCAAAGGTGACTCGGTATTTGGGGCAGGTCCATGGACTGCTATCAGGGAGAGAGTCATCGCAGATGTTTTCGATGTTTTCTAGCATCCACCAGGCTACTGCTAGGTTTAGGATTCCAGCCACCAGTGTTCCTACAAGCTTTATAATCGAGCAGGAAAGAAATCAACAAATTAGATTTCGATAGTTATCATAGATATGTTGCTTGATCCAATAAACTATGATATAGCGAAAGGTCCTACAAGCCATATGATAGAGGAGGAAAATGTTTAGAAATTAGACATTGATAGCAATCATGAATATATTGCTCACTCTCCAAAAGTAAAGGTATTTTCCTCTAAATAAACACTAATTTCCTAGTGTTAGTATTGGTACTCCCATAGTGTTGGCTTTGCATTCAAATACCATAACAATTTTGATTTGGGTTATTGCGGTATTATGTTCCTTCAGATTGATGGGTAACCGATACTACGAGAGGTCTATCCGCAATTAACCCTTTTGGTTTTCTGTTCAATACAATTATTCCTTTACATTCATGGAAATTTAATACAAAGGAGTGAGGTTCAATGTATATGATTTTGTAGATTTATCAAGCTCATAATCTTCATTTACTAACAAATTCAAAGCCACAGCTTCAGCAGAAATTTATTCTTCAGAATTGCATAATTCAACTTCTGAATACGTGTATAAGATAACATATTTGACACAGATGTATCTCACGAAATATTCATATGAGATTTCAATAGTGATGAGACATCCGGGGGGGGGGGGGGGGGAGATTTCCCTGAGCAGTGTTACATGATCTTGGTGGGATCTTCATGTAATGACCCAATTTAAGATCAGATAGAAAGGAAAGAGCATGGACCGTGCTAATTCGCCCGTAAATCTTGAAAAGAAGATTAGCGATTGGCTTTCCAGGAAGCACATAACCAATCATAAACTGAGCAATAATATCATATCCAGGTTGCTACATGAAGCCAACAAAGGGATATCAATACTAAAACACAATTTCACCAGTTTATCTAAATTCTGAAAGAATTGTTCAATTTGGATCACCTGATTTGTCGTAGCCTGAATAACTCCAATAGGGAGAGTAACAACAAAAGCCAATCCAAACGCAAAGATCAACCCCCACCAAGGAAGCTGAACCTGCTCTTTCCAGATGAACGACATGATCAGCGATAAGAAAATGCTGCCTACTAATAAAATCAAGAACCACCATTCTGGAACTTGCTTGTATTTCTTCATAAGTTTTGCGTGAATATCTTCCTTTATTGAGTTTGCTGCTGCCCTGCTCTGCCTCCATATATCACTGCACAGTGAATAGACTTTATTAGTAAAGGCTAGTTTCGTGAACATACCACAATATGTACCAATAATTAACTTACCTTCCATGAAATAGGAAGACATGGGTGAGAGTTGCAGTGAACCTAGCAAACCCTGACCCTATCGACAATGCGAATAAAGGACTAAGGTAAAGCTTCCCATAGCTATTATAAGCAGCTTCATTCAGCTCAAACTGTGGCGTCAAAACCGCCGTTGTATTATACTTCGTTCCTTTCGAGGTGAACAGCTGATTCGAGAACATGGGGAACTTTCTGGCATCAAAAGTATTATACTTCCAGTAGCAGATTGGAACTATAATGTAGACGAACATGATGAAACCAGCTGCTATGTTGAGGATGGAGAACCAAGGGGCAACTAATGGGCTTCCATGGTAAGCGGAGATTCCGGCCCAATCAAGGGTGAAGGCGCCAATGCCGAGGCCGTGGTAGCCTGAACCAATCTGTTGGGCTGTGATGCTGTGAGGCCAGGCCCAACAGACCCATGAAAAGAATGTGAGGATTGGGAAGAGGTAACCAGGAAACGCGTAGTAGAGGAAGCTGCCGATGAAGAAAATCATGAAGAATTTCATCCTGCTTGGGCCTTTGGAGTTCACATCTTTCTCATGGAGAGCCCTGCAACGAAGAACCAAACAGTTCAGAGAATTGATTGATAATGATCAATAGTTTTTTCAAGGGATAGTTGCGCATAGACCTCCTTTAGTATCATTGTTTTGAACTTACTACCCCTGTAGTTCCATTGTTCCAGATAGACCTGTTCGATTAACTTTTGCTTACCCTTTTAGCATCAGATCGACTCGCTAATTTCAACCTAGGACAATATTAATCTAGGCGTTCTATTGGCAACAATGAAACTGCAGGCGTAGAAGTGCAAAACAGCAGTACTAGAGGGGGTCTACGTGCAATTAGGCAAACTTTGAAAGTAGATGACATAATAAGCTTTGCAGTATGAAGCATAGGAACAGTGAATGAAATTGTGAGAAAATGAAGTAAGAAATTAAACAGACCTGAAGAGAGAAACCTGAGCAAGGTTAGCAGGCCACCACATTTCAACGGGATCTACAAGGAATCTTCTTAGCACCCCAGCCCATCCATAACCAATTACCTGTAGATTAATAACCTAATCACTTAACATGTTTTCATGGAGGAAAAAAAAAAACTAAAGAGAAACTAATTAAATATAACCACGCATTTATCCTCTGGTAATTTCATCAGATCGATATGACCAAAATATCCCGGCTTGATTTATTGCAAAATCGGAAAACTAGTAGGAATTAATAAAGTTCTGATCCTACTTTTACACCTAGTTGTTAATTAGGACTATTTTCTTACTCAACTAAAGTGTTACTTCCAAATATACATTAAAGTCTGGTACACGAACTGCAGCAAATGTGCTGGTGACCGTCAGTTCAGCGATGAAACCAACTGTTACTTTGCTAAGACGCAGAAAGTTGAATTAAATAGACTTTTAGTGTTACCCACAAGAAATTTGACTCTTCTCAATGATTATTTAAAATGATAGTAGTATGAAGATTAGTACCAAAAGCTCAAAAGTGAAGTTAATGAGTCATTTGATCTATCCTTTGAAAGAACCGATGCGAAGAAGAAGAAGAAGAAGACGACGATTTGAAGCCCATAAGCAGATAATGGGACAGTACAGCCTGTATCCACATCAAAAGTTGAGCATCTCAAAGATACTTCTTTTTTTAATTCTATTTTTTATTTATTTTTATTTTTATTTTTTAAAGAGATACGTACAATACGTAGGGAAAAAATCAAACAGCTCAGATAGTATGTTTTGCATCAATTTAATAGTAAAATTTTATATATCCCGAAAAGTTAACTGAATTAAAATACAAATAAAGATTAACACCATATGGGTGGTGTTACAGGGATCAAAAAAACATGGGACGCTATATGACCGACATCTCACATGTCTCATATAACGTCCTATGTTTTTGGGTCCCTGTAGCACCACCATAAAATTAATTAGACACCTAAAACACAATTGTTGAGGTTTATATCCCGAAGAATTAACACCATGTGAAAATAAAAACAAGATAAATCAAGCTGGAAAATCTATCATAAATAGCTTTTGAACCTCGTAACTTTCACGGTACTAAAAAAGGAGAAATAGACAGGAAGGAAGCAAGGTTGACTAATAATTAAGTCATTTTCTTGTCACTTCAGTAAAGCCAAAGAAAAACCAATAACGCATTAAATCAAAGAAAAAACTTTTTTCTGTTCCTTTTCCCCCCAGAAAAACAAAAAATAACCAAAACACGCACAAGCACAGGATCAACTCTTCCTTGCCGAGTTAAAATAAAAATAAAAGCAGGTGCTCCCACATGCAAATCCAACAACAAAACTTAAAAAAAAAACGAAAAACAAATAAAAAGAGCTCAATGATGAGCATAAAGAAACCCCAAGAGGAAAATTTCGGTTGACTAGTTGAAACGTCAATGCCAGTCACTTTCTCCTGTCCATTCCACAAAGACAAAGAACTAACCCAATAATTGAAGGAAATTCTTTTCTTTATTTTTAAGAAATTTTAAAAGAAAGAAGAATCAAAACACAAACAGTATCGGGATTAGCTTACATGCACATCCACACAATGAAATCTTAAAAAAAAAACACCAAAAAAAAAAAAAAAAAAACTAACACCAAAAAAAAAAAAAAAAAAACTCGAGCATACCTGAGTAGTAAGAACAATGATGAGAGCACAAAGAAACCCCAAACCCTGCTTATAATAAGCCTTCATCACCGTAATCGCCCCAATCGAATAGGCATCTCCTCCCCCAGTCGAGACCCCACAATTAGCAAATATCGTGATAATCACATGCTCCTTTATATTAAACGGGCCTGGATTCAAATTAAACCCCCAGCCCCCAAGAACCCTGGACCTCCTTATCCGGCAGCGCTGAGGCATGAACCTGCCAATGGGCAGCACCGCGATCTGCATCAGATCGCCGATATCGTCAGCGGCTGGGTGCGATAGCTTGAAGAACGTGTTGAGAAATATCAGGACGGAGCACGATGTCAGCCCGAGGAACCAGGCCCTGAATGTGAGGAGCGGGAGGTTCGGGTCGTCGGTCTCGGGGACGACGAGGCCTACCTCCTCGATCGGGCACCGGTCCGAGATTCGACGGGCCGGGTTTTTTGAGGATCCGGGTTGTGATGACTGACATTTTTGGAGCGGGCTTCGAAAAAGTTGTGATCTTGAGTGGAGGGCTTTGGCGGTTTTTTGGTGGGGGGGGGGGGGGGGGTTCGAAGCTGAAGGCCTCTGTTTGAAAAACGGGGGAGAAGCGCTCTGTATAAAGGGAGGCGATGGCGGTATTTTCGGAAGGGATTTTTGCTGGTTGCGGCATATGCTGGAGATATAGAGTAAATGACGCGAACTGCCCTTGACCTAACTGTTACTGTTAGCTTTGAATTTCGTACGTGCTGGGGGTAATCGGGGATGGCGGAGGGCAATTCGGGGTTTTCGGTGGAGAGCGTGGGGCGGCGCCGAGGGGGCCGAACGGCGGCACGCGCCGGATCTCCGAGGCGAAGCGCTAGGAGGTGGGCGGGCCACCCCGCCCGCTGTTTCGGATGGACGTGGTGTCCTGCTGTGATGGTTGACGTGCGGACGACCACGGTTGACCTGAATCGCAAGCTGCGGCAATTCTCTCAATTGATAAATAAATTGCACAAACCTCGATAAAAAGAAATAGTATTTTCTTGAAATAGGATAGGCTCCCTAGCGCACTTTTTTATTCTGCTCTTTTTCGACCTTTGAACGAGGCGATGCTCTCTTGGCATCAAACCTCGTAACATTTTTAAATGTTGAAATTGCAGAATTCGATTATATTCAACGAGTCAGGAGATATTATTTGAAAATACAAATAAGATATGTAAGCCAGGAGGAGGATATGTAATTAACTAATGGATGCTCCCCTCTTTTGCCTAATTTTTAGAGTGGGTTCGTTAACTACTCTCTCAACCCTTTTGATATGCCCGTTATTTTAATAGTCAAAGGATTATCAAAAAGTACACCCGTGATTTAAAATATTTTAAGAACCATACAAATTACACATATTAAATCTAATAAAACAAATCATGAATGTTAAGGTTGTTGGGCTCTAGAAGCAAGCTTAGATGGGTGTGAATAGGATTGCTATTTGGTTTCTACATTATTACATAATATTACATAATACGCAACGAAATATAAATAATAATAATAAATAATAAGCAAAGCAATAAACTCAGAAAACAATCAGGATTAATCACAGTCAGTAACACAAACTACTTTTATAGCGGAGTTCGATAAATCCTAGCATTCCGCTCTTCTTCCTCGCATAAGGGTCTTCCTCACTAGATGAAAGTTTTACTAAATTACAAAACCGATTCCATAACTTAATTAAAAGACTAAAATCCTAGTTTTTTTCCCAAACTAGTCATTTAACCTAAGCTTTTCTCACAACTTTAGCCCTAGCTAGTGACCATTCCCACAATTATTTCCGGCTTGAATACGCTATAAACCCTCAATTCACACTAGTTGAGTATGCCATAAAAACAAGTCTAGAATAATATAATAATTATCAATTAAGCGCAATACAGAAAAATATTACAACTCTTTTGTTAAACAAATCGTTCTCCTAATGATTGAGATGAAACTCTAGAAAAACAATGATGAAACTGAGATCTAAGAGCAACAATTTCTAAAGTTACAGATTAGATGATGAAGAACAACATCGAGTATGCTTGCTGAGAAGCCCGAGCCAAATTAATCACCAAAGTTGAAATCCTCTCTCTCTCTCTCACTCAAATAAGTAGTTAATCACTAAAGAAAATTGTGAGAAAAAAATCTATTTAACTCATAGCAATGAACGACTAAGATTAAATTCAAATTAGATCAGAAATTAGAATTTTGGTAGCCACTCGTGAATGAGTGCATGAGTCAACCCTCATCAATGAGTACTATTACTCGTCAATGACCAAAATGTCTCGTGACTTTTTGCCATCGATGATTCTCATATTTGAGTATATGCACAGTACTTCATTTTATAGATCATATCGAGAGTTTTTCAAAATATATTATAATACCGGTGAGTGATATGTAAATAAATGCAAATCAAGAGGCGTATGATATTAGATTTAAAACGAATAACAAGCATCTAAGACACAAAGATCATAGCACTAGGCTTTGCACAACATTTTCGACAGGTTCCACATCCCTATTGGCACGTGCTGACTATGCAAGGGCATCACTGGGGCCAACTTTTTACCCGGAAAAGTATTTAACTAGGCATTGATATTTGAGTGGCAGTGTGGGCAAACCCCCAACCACAACTTCAATCACATACACTCTTTTTTGCTACAGTACACGTGACCCTACATGAGATTTTAAAATTTTAAAATTTCATGTGGGATCCGGTGCATTGTAACAAAGAAAGTGTGTTTTTAAAGTTATGGTTAGGAGTGTGCCCCTATCATTTTCATTGATATTTTTAACAAACCCTCATTTTTACTACTACAAGTTGAAGACATATGGAAGATGCTTGCACTAATTTTCTTATGACCTTAGCTATCCAAAGGTGATCACTTATACTTCCAGAACATAAAGATCAAATCTTGATAGAATAAAGTGGTGGCAGCCCGAAACCTAGGGAGGAGAGACAGGACAAGTGTAAGGTGAGCTAGATGTTGAGGGTTGACCGTGGTCCTTGACACTGTAGTGCTCTGATTCTGATGAGACCAAGAAAACCTAAACCAAACTCTAACTAAACCGACCAATCATTAGAAGACTCCATGGTGTAACTTCAAAAATATGCGCATTATAAGAGAGACCCACTAAATTTGGTGAGGAAATAGATCAGCAGTTTTCGTTACGTTTGGTGAGGGAATAGCTCAGCTGTTTTTGTTCTAACCCCTAAGGTACCGTTTGACAAAGGGTTAAGCGAGGGGTTAAGGAGACTTAATTAATCTCTTCTTAATCCGTCAAACACAAACAATCTATACAATGATTAAAGTGAGTTAACTCTTCATAATTTGCCAAACATAAAAAATATAGAAGAGTTAAGCTAACCCCTCTAGAGAGATTAAAATAAGTTAACCCTCTCAAAATAAGGGGTTTACTAATATTCCTATTTCGAAGGATTAAGAGTTAACCCTTCTAATTATAAAGAAAATAGTCAAAATCCTTGTTATTCCCAAACACTACAAATGATCATAAAGGTTAAAATAAAACTTTTATAACGGGCTAATAATTTAGTCCTTCAGATTAACGAATGAGCTAACTATGTTAATCATTCTCCTTAATCCATCTTCTTTAACCCTTTGCCAAACGGGGCCTAATTGTTTTAGTTAAATAAACTATAATGTTGAAGATTTTCATGATCTTGAAACTTGCATCGGATGATTTCAAATATTCAGCGATCAAATGAAATCTTTTTTTAGGGCTATCTTCGTTAATATGCTAGGTGGGATGCTAGTGCGTTGCATGTGGTTAATTATTTGTAGTTTTTTTATTTGTTTTTTTTTTATTATAGCTAGATTATAAAATAGTTTACCACTATCATAAAATATATTAAAATATTTTGAATGTCTCTATATATGGATAAAACCATGTTGATTTTAATTTTTTGTCTTTTGGAGAAATGGTAAAGTTTAGAGGCTTAAAATATGACTTTTTAATTAATACGCCATCCGTCTGATAACCTTGTACATTTGGCACCGATAAGAATATTATTTAAATAAAAAATAATTTTTTATTGGTTGCTTAATATTTTGGTTCGTTAATGATAAAATTGATATTCCTTCTATACCAGCGTTATACTACGTGAATATATTTTCTTTCAAAATTCTCACTATAAAATCAAGTTATGCTACCACAAAAAGAATATTCTTTCAAAAGAATGACCCTAAATAGTTACAAACACATAAAGATTAAGAATGTAAATGGACTTTTTATAATATATTAATGTATAAGGCACTTAAGAAGCATCCTATATGACAATAATTGAACAATTAAACAAGCATACACAAATATGATTAATACGTTTATCTGATGCTAATTGTAACTATAATAAATTCTCAGTGTATTATGAATCTTCTCATTTTAGTTCTTGAATATTGACATGAATGAGCGACTTGTTGCACCGGTCGTTCTCTCGGTATGAGTTCTCTTAAGTCTGTTACGGGAACTCGAGAAGAGTTACTCACTGAACATGATGTTTGAATTGGAACCTCCTATCTATGATTTGACGGGACTAGCTCCTGGTGAACATGGATCTTGAATCCATATTGATCTCTTTGAACGCGACGTATCACATCACATTTAGTATTAGAAACGCGAGGGTCGCGTTTGATAGTGGAAACGCGAGGGTCGCATTTTGGTTGAGTATCTCGGTCCTAAGGTCCGCGTTTTGGTTTTGAAATGCGCCATTGAGGGTCGCTTTCAGCCTGGCTTTCGCGAGGCTCATGCTTGGACACATAAACACGAAGCTCGTGTTCTAGAGTAGACACGCGAAGCTCAGGGTCGTGTTGAGGCTCACAAACGCGAGGTTCGTGTTGGTTGGTTAATTGGCTTTGTCGGAGTTGTGCTCGTCGTAGGGATCTTCTCTTTCGTCGAGCAGCATTCTTCCTCACCTGTTTTAAGGCTTTTGTAGTGATGCCACCATCTGTAGTGAATCAAGTTAATCGTAGCAATGGGCCTCTTGTGACCTGATATCCATTATTTGGGCACGAGTATAGAGTTTTCAACTCGATTGACGAGTTCAGTTGGAGCTAAGTCCTTTTCATCTGCAGAAGGACTGTATGAACCGCCTGATTCCAAGGAGAGGCACTCATTTGGCGAATCATCGGTAAGAGTAATCCTAGCTTCTTTGGAGACTTTGTGAATCTTGCGCATAGCCTTAGGGCTAAGAGATCCGGAGGAACGAAGCTCCTCGCACTTAACTTGGTCAAACTTAACAGTTAGAGTTTCAATCGTTGTTCCAGTGAGCTTAGTGTCGGATTGCGCCATCACTTCTTCATCAGTGAAAAAGTCAGTCCCCAGTGGAGTCGTCATCTTTTGTTTGCAAGAAAATATTGCAAGAAAATTAAGAAATGAATTTTATATTAATCTCCCTCACTGATTTAGGAAAAGAATAAATACAATCTCTCATTGTAACCTCCCTCTAACTGACTTAGAAAAAGAAATTATAATTCTTCTTTATCGATTTTCTGATTTACAAAAGCGAGAAGAATCAACGAAGATCCTTCCCTTTATTTAAAATTGAGTTCTTCTTGATGGCGATGAGA